GAAGAAACAGGATTGTGGTCCTTGGCCAATTCTGGGGACCCTGAAACAGCCTCATGATCAAGATACAGGCTTGACAGGTTATCTGACTGGGGGGGCATGATCTGTTGGCGGACGAGGGTGTGAGGTTAGGCGGAGGCTTAACAGGGAGAGCGCCTAGCCAGGCACTGGGCACCAAAGACAGAGGAACAGCCACTATAGGTAAAGCAACAGTGGCAACATGCGGGGAAGCCCAAACTCGCGTGCGGTCAGTGCCAAGTTTTCGTGTTGACGCGTAAATCGCGTTGAAGTGAAGTGGGTTTCCAAAAAGTCTCTATGGAAGTTCACAATCCAACAGCCAACGTCGCCATCACTCACCAGTCCCAGCAAAGACAACATGGCTTCCAGACCCGAGCTCAAGGTATGATATCTCTTCCGCATCCAAAATGCAAACTTGCTAAGAACAAATACAAAGGTTGATGACGAGACTGGATTCATTCGTTTGTTTCGATCTCTCCCAGCGAAACCGGACGGCAACAATACTATTCGTGTCTTTGATCGAGTCGACTGGTACTCGGCGCATGGAGAAGATGCGGAATTTATCGCTAGGACTGTCTACAAGACAACCGCTGTTATTAGAAACCTCGGTCGAAGCGAAAATGTTTTGCCCAGTGTCACAATGTCGACTACGGTTTTCCGCAACCTCCTTCGAGAAGCGCTATTCAAGCTAGGCAAGAGAGTGGAGATATGGGAGACCAGTGGTAAAGGTCAGTGGAAACTGGCCCGTCAAGCTAGCCCTGGAAACCTGCAGGCAGTTGAGGAAGAGCTGGGTTCGGGGATGGATAGTCAGGGTGATGGCGCACCCATCATCCTGGCTGTCAGAGTCAGTGCAAAGGCTGGCGAGGCCCGAAGTGTCGGCGTGTGCTTTGCAGACGCCAGCGTCAGAGAACTCGGTGTCAGTGAATTCTTGGACAACGACCTCTATTCCAATCTCGAAAGCCTTCTTATCCAGTTGGGCGTGAAAGAGTGTATCGTGGCGGGAAGTCTCCAGAAACAGGATCCCGAACTAGCAAAGATACAGCAGATTGCCGATTCTTGTGGCATTGCCATTTCGGAGAGGTCTGCAGCCGATTGGGGAACGAAGGATATCGAACAAGACCTGGCAAGACTCCTGAAGGGTGAAAATGCTATGGGACTTCTACCCCAGACAGAACTTAAGCTCGCAATGGGTAGTGCTGCTGCATTGATCAAGTATCTGGGCGTCATGACAGACCCCAGCAATTTCGGGCAATACCGGCTTTATCAGCACGACCTGGGTCAGTACATGAAACTGGATGCAGCAGCGCTCAGAGCTCTGAACCTCATGCCGGGTCCACGAGACGGCGCGAAAAGCATGAGCTTGTTTGGGCTGCTTAACCACTGTAAAACCCCGATTGGAGGCCGCCTACTTGCACAGTGGCTCAAACAACCGCTGATGAATCTTGCGGAAATCGAGAAGAGGCAGCAACTAGTGGAAGCTTTTGTCACCGACACTGAACTTCGTCAAACCATGCAAGAAGAACACCTGCGCTCAATTCCTGACCTATATCGACTGGCGAAGAAATTTCAGCGCAAGCATGCAAATCTAGAGGATGTGGTTCGGGCGTATCAGGTTGTTATCCGGCTCCCAGGCTTCATCGAGGCGCTCGAAACAGTCGTCGACGAACAGTATCAAGTACCACTGGAGACACAGTATACCTCAAAACTGAAAGAATTATCGAGCTTTCTTGGGAAATTGGCCGAAATGGTTGAGACCACCGTGGACCTCGAGGCTCTCGATCGCCATGAATTCATTATCAAACCGGAATTTGATGAGCAACTCAAGGTGATTCGAGCCAAGCTCGATAAAGTACAGCACGCCATGGAGGTCGAGCACCGTCGAGCGGGCAAAGATCTCAGTCAAGAGCTTGACAAGAAGCTCTTTTTGGAGAATCACAGAGTACATGGGCACTGTTTCCGGCTTACGCGTAACGAAGCAGGTTGTATACGGAACAAGAAGGATTATAAGGAAATATCAACGCAAAAGAACGGCGTCTACTTTACGACGAACGAACTGTCGGAGTTGAGGAGAGAGCACGATCAGCTCTCCGGATCTTACAACCGAAAACAGTCGTCACTAGTATCAGAGGTCGTTCAAGTGGCTTCTTCGTACACTCCAGTTATTGAGCAGCTTGCTGCTATCATCGCTCACCTGGACGTGGTGGTCAGTCTGGCCCATGCTTCCGTCCATGCTCCTACAGCCTACGTCCGGCCGAAGATGCATAGACGGGGCACGGGGGATACTGTCTTGAAAGAAGCGCGCCACCCTTGTATGGAAGCTCAGGACGACATCAACTTCATCACCAATGACGTCGAATTGAGGCGAGACAGCTCCCGGTTTCTCATCATCACAGGTCCAAACATGGGCGGTAAATCGACGTACATTCGCACGATCGGTTGTATTGCTCTGATGGCCCAGATCGGCAGCTTTGTGCCCTGCACAGAAGCAGAACTGACGATATTTGACTGCATCCTCGCTCGTGTAGGAGCATCAGATTCTCAACTCAAGGGTGTCTCGACGTTTATGGCGGAAATGTTGGAAACCGCAAATATCCTGAAAAGTGCCACCAGAGACTCGTTGATCATTATCGACGAGCTTGGTCGAGGCACGAGCACATATGACGGCTTCGGTCTCGCGTGGGCCATCAGTGAAGAAATAGTCGGGCAGATCGGCGCCTTTGGGTGCTTTGCCACTCATTTCCATGAGTTGACCGCTTTAGCAGACAAGTTCCCGAATGCGGTCAAGAATCTCCATGTTGTGGCATTTGTGGGTGATCAGGATAAGGATGTCGCCATGACCAATGGCGCGGGTGAGTCCGCTTCGAGTAAACGAAGGGAGGTCACCTTGTTGTATAGAGTTGAACCCGGCATAAGTGACCAAAGCTTTGGCATTCACGTCGCCGAGCTTGTGCGGTTTCCAGAGAAGGTGGTCAGCATGGCGAGACGAAAGGCCGAGGAGTTGGAAGACTTTACGAGTGCCACCGGCGAACAAAAGCAGAACGAGTGTTCAAAGGAAGATGCGGACGAAGCCAGCCAACTGTTGAAGGCTATGCTGCAGAAATGGAAAGAGCAGGTCGAAGGCAAGGACATGTCTAAGGACGACAAGTTACGGCTGATGAGAGAAATGGTCAAGGGTGACGAGAAGTTGATGAGCAATCCCTTCTTCCAGACTGTACAAACACTGTGAGATTTGAAACCGACGTGGGGCCGGTCTTCTATGTCTGCTAAAGTCAGTGTGAGCGTGGTGTTCGGGAGTCAATGCTGAGGGAAATGCTGGAAAGGGCTGTTGTGGATAGATATTCATTGACGGTTCATCGGAAGGACGAGGATGAAGGGAAAGGTAGTTTCTGGGATGTCCAATCCCCAGGTTTGAGAGATTTGCAGAAGGCTATTCCTCGATCACATGTAAACTTTGTATACCATATATGTTTTCCACTTCCATGCCGGCCTCAATGCACCCGGGGTCGTTCATGCTGTTGCATTCTTGATATTACTCCTCACATCATCATTACCACCGTACTGTTCCGCGTATTGCCTGCTTACATCCTCGGGGCCCTCACCAGCGGCGCCCTTTTCAAAATCACCAGCCTTGGTCGGCCGCCCTGTGCCTTTCTGTATACCACCACCTTCTTCGACGGGAATCTCTCTGTTGTCACCAGCACCCGAGACTTTGCTTCCGTATTCAGCGGTGCTGCCGGGAAACTTGTTGGTTACTGATTGATCGATGCCAGATTCGGTTGCTATGTGTGACAAGGGTTTGATCAGTGTGCGGTGCAATAGGAGCCGAGGTGGGAAAGTTTCTATACATACTGCTGTCGCTCCCTCCATGGACCGTTTTGCCTCCAAAGCCGCTGTCTTGCGCACCGTGCTTGGATTTGGCCGATGCGAGATCTCTTTCGGCTTGTTTGGCAATGTCCATGAGGTCTTGCCCCTTGTATTGCTCAGACATGGCTGCTAGGTAGGAGGTATCTTGGTGTGAGTCTTTTGTCGGAGGGGTTTCCAGGAGACAAGTGGCGTGTGATGATGGTATTCCATTAGAAACGACCAGATCATATTCTCCTTGAGGTTTTGTACTCGGATTTCGTTGAATAGTTGTGATGTCATTGGTTGATGTCATGTAGAAGTCACTGTGGCGCTGAGCCCCTTGAGGCCGGAATCCAAATCCGGGTTTGCATGTGGTCAGCCTTGCTCGAGTTGCGCAAGGCTGAGAATCCAGGCAGTTGAGGTGTTGTGATTATTGGTGATGAAAGAAGGTCTGGCAGATAGGGGGAGTGCGTGTCGTAGTCCTTGATTCTGGGTCCAGCATCATCATGGTTGTTTTTTCCAACGCAGACTATTCTTCTTCTTGGTTGGTTCTCAGATCAAGCCTTCCTCAATACCCTCACTTGCACGTCGCTCTTGCCTCAAGACGTGAAGCTTTCAGACCGTATTGCAAGCGAGGCATCGAGACTGCCCTCATCTCCGACATGGGTCGGTACTCTGATGGTGGCTGTCTTCTCTCCTCTCATAGTTCCTGTGAGCCACTCCCTCATCATTCCAGCTTGCATTTCTTTCGATCTCCAGTAAAGCGAGTGCGACGCTCACCGTTTTGTCCTCTCATTTCGCCGCGGCTCAAAATGCCACTTAACCCTGATCCTGCTTCTCTCAGTGCACGCAGCCGTCACTCTTCAGTCTCCGCCATCCCACGGCCGAAATCTGGCACTTCTCGCCAGGCAACGCCCGTAGCCGCTCGAGCAGATAGAAGGGGCTCGGCAGCAGGGACAAGTCTCCCCAGAATTCCTTACATGCACCGGAAATCATGGCATCGTGATGACTTTCTTCCACCCAGCTCGTTCCGGATGGCCCATGCTGAGGCACCGACGCCCAATAAAGAGTCCTTAGTTCCGTACAAGCAACGGTCCCATCATGATCTGTCTGGAACCCGACAACAGCTCTATATCCGAAACATGTCCACGCACTCCTTGAGCAGTCATGAAGCTGTTGTCACTCCGTATCACCTCAAGCAGGTATCCAGCACTACCGCACTGCCAAAGTCCAAGACGATGGGAAGCCTCCTATCTTCACCTCGCGAGATAATCACTAGACGACGCCTCCTTCAACCCCTCGACCCTCCTCTGCCGCGAACACAAACTCTAGGCAATATCTCATGCTTCGCTCCGACACATCAAACGCCATCTCCGAGAAAGCCCATCTCTGTCTCACTGTCCTCCTCAGAACAGCATCACGATAATGTAAGTCAGCTCAATGTCGCCGATGCATTGAACGAAAGTAGGATGACAGAGAAAGAGATGGACTTAATGATACAAGTCCAGAGAGAAGCGGCAGTCAATCGCGCTCGACTTAGAAATGCTTGTCAATACCGAAATCCTCCAGCAAGGAGCACGGCTGAACCTGCACCAACTCTGAAGCTGTCACTGAACGATGTTGCCAATACACAACGTCTCGAAAGCATGAAGAGGACGTCATCATCTGGTCGGCTTTTGTTCATCAATTCCACTTTGGCGAATAAAAACTGGCGAGACAGTGACATTCCAACTTCGACAACAATGACAACCAGTAATGGAAGCGTCACGAGCTCGAGCCCGAGCCAGATTTCGGACATTGATGCAAGACATGTGAGAGACGGTCAAGTATGTTATCGCCGTTGAGCGTTGTTAACCCTCAGACAGGTGTACGCCGCAGAGGACGCATCGTACTGGACTGGCCGATATATGTCTCTCTGTGACCGACTTCGCATGAAGGAGCTGAACAGACCACCTCAATCGCCCGCAGGATCGACCGAAAAGAAAGCTGACCGTCTTTTCGAAAATAGCGAGAAGGTGCGTATGAACAGTGCGCTCAATGAGCTCAGAGAGCATTGCAAGACGAAAGAAGCCTTGAAGAGCTTTGAAGACTTTGAGAATATCCTCCTCAAAAAGCTAGGAGTTTCGCGTCAAAGCCTCCATCGAGCCGGAAGTCTCGCGTTTGCAGGTAAAGAAGTGGAAAGGCGGCTGGGCATGTCCGGGTCAAATGGTTTCAATCCATTCTCGTTGAACATGTCAACCTCTCCTGGACATGCCTCGACACCAACCAGCAGAGTATCAAGCGTCAATGCTGAGGCCGTGTTGACCGAAACTTCCAAATCGTTCTACGGCGAAGGCACTATGGCGAAAAGCAAGACCACAGGTAATTTGGCATCTCTCATTCCTCTCATACCAAAGAGACAGCATGTTATTGAGGGCAAGTCTTTGCCAAAGTCGAATACTGTCCAGCTCACTTCACATCGTCGTCGAACATCCTACTTTGAATGTTCTCCCGAGACTCGAGCAAAGGCTATGAAGGAGCGAGAGGAACGTGCCTCTCGCAGAGCAGCCGAAGCGCACCGACTTTCAAACCCACAAATGCCTTCTGTAAGTGTTTTCAGGAGTCGAGGGCGGAGTAAGGATCCAGTACCATCCCCAATGGCTGTGCAAATCTCAGGATCTGTTCAGCCTCAATTCTTCTCTTCCTGTTGCAAAGTCGGTGCCTCGGGAGAAGTGACAGACTCTTTGAGTGTGGCAATGCTCGAGAGTGGACATGTTCGCCCGCCCCCAAAAGCGGCAAATAACACCTTGCCATCACGAGTGGAGCTGGTCGAGGTGCCTGGAGGTGGGCAAGAGAAGATCGTCAAATCACGGCGTAAGACTGAGAGACAGATCAGTGGAGAGAGGGTCAAAACCCTATTCGGAGCCGGGATGCGAGAGGTCAAGAAGATGGGACGTCGAGTCAGTGGGATGAGTTGGCCTGGAAGTAGCGACGACTTGTTGCCGCCGAGAAGCGGGAGCAAGTGAAGAGTATATTGGCGAAGGGCGCCATGAGATGGGCAAAGCATGTAACAATGCTGCACCTAAACATTCCAGTCAACAGGAATAGTGGATAGGGCAACTTGTTTAGACACCTGTATGCCGGACGCCAGAACTATGCTGGTACCCAGTGGATCTCCACCTGGACTTTCCTCGCGCCATTTCCATCATCAGCAAACAGATCCACCTTTTCAAACCTCTTCGGAGTGGTGTGTGCGTAGAAGACGCTGTGGTTGTGATATGCGAGCACGTTGGCGCCATGCCCATTGTCGGCGTAAGAAAAGATGCCCTGCACCTTTGCAGAGTTTGCACACTCGAATCTGCCGGTGGCCGGATTCACCAGACACGGCGAGTACGACGACGAGAGGGAGAACAAGGCCTGGTGGCCCGGGTCGACGACGTCATGCTGGGCGCGGAAGGTCGCGCACGTGCCCGAGACGTACCACTGGCCCTGGCGGATGAGGCAGCCCCTTTTCATGGCGGTGGTCTCGGACTCGGTCTGAGACGTGGGCGTGGAGTCGAGCACGTGGATTTCGAGGTGGCCTTTTCCTGTGAAGGGGGCGGTGGTGCTTGTGGGTCCAGCACCGACAGTGGTAGTCTTTGTGGGACAGGGGGGTGGGAGTGGGAGTGGCGCCTCGTCACCACGCGTCTTGGAGAGGTATTTGATCCCGTGTCTCGGGCAGTTTGAGAGCGCTCCGTCGGGCGGGACAGGCACGAAGCTTTTGCGCACGGTGGTGGTGTTTAGGAACGGCGAATGAGCGAGGTTAGAAGGTGAAGAGGAGGAGGAGGATATGTCGCGCCCTTGGTCTTCTCGGGGAGACATCATGATGGCTTCGGCCTCGGATCCGGCTTCGCCGTCCTCCAGGTCGTAAGACGTATGTCTCAGCGAGCCCATCACCGCGAAATGGTACCATACTTCGTCCAGCTCGCCGCGGCGGTTGCAGCGGAATGTCACCGGCTGGCCGTGTGGAGAGGACTCGACGGCCGCCTCCAGCTCCTGAAGCTTGTATCGCTTCTGGGACGAGGGAAGGATGCCGGCCTCCGCAAGTATGGAGTACGTGTCGAGCGTTTTGAAGAGGGAGGTCGTGTGGATGAAGTAATCCAGCACGTCGAGGTGGCGGTGCCGCCGGTTTGGTGTCGGCGGAGGAGCCCCGTAGCAGTCCGGCTCGAGGGTCGAGATGCAGGTGCCGTGCTTGTTCCACTCGTGCGCCCACAGGTGTTCGTGGTCGCCGTTGAGGGAGAGCCAGTACGTCTCCATAAACGAGAGCAGTTCGTCGACCATGGCTTCATGATTTCCATCGTGCGCCTCGCCCGCACCATCCTGGCCCTCTAGGGCGTGGCGGAGGACGGTCCGAATGTCGGAATGCGAGCGCGAAGAATCGCAGAACGCGTCAAACCCTCCCGTGCAGAGATCTGGCCAGAGGCCATGAATGGTCCAAGAGTTGTTGGGCCCGATGGGTGGCTCCGTGTCCCAGAACTGGGTCTGCAGAAAATGTCCTGACGGGTGGTTTACACAGCATGTGTTTACATCTTGCGCTGGGGGGGACGGACATGATAGGGACGGGGGGTTGGGGCAGACTGAGGGGTCGAAAGTTGAAGATGAAAGGGTATTTTGACTGACGCCGTCGGTTGTTGTGAGAGGAGCGGGAAGTAGAAACGAGGACAGGATGGGCACTTGAGACAGCAGTTGATAGAAGGAGGTCATTGTGGAGTTGAGCGGTCAGTTGTAGAATAAGAATAAGCGAGCGAGGGCAGCTCTTGTTGATATATTCTCGGTATATAAAAGGCCACTGTCTGATATTGAAGGAGAGTTTGTTCGAGGAATGAAGGTTGGGGGCTCGGGGAATCGCGAACCACGCGTTCCGTCCCCCTGAATATGACGTCAGCGAGGCTGAGGTGGTCACAAGGCTGGAGCCATCACGAGGCTGACGGCCCAATGGCTCATCATCCCTTCATCACTTCATCCTGAGGGTATTTCGTTCCTCCTTGCCTTCGGATCTCGTCCATAATCTCCATGACGCGGATAGTCTCTTTCCAAGGCATGATGGCGCTCTCTTTCCGGCCAGCCGCAATGTCGAGGGCGGTGTTGTCCGCCTCGTAGAAAAACCCCCGCCCGACACGAGGATAGTCATATGTTTTGCTTTCAGAGTCATGTTTGTTGTCCTCTTTCCGTCGATAGACTGTAAAGGACAAAGGATGCGATGGCGCTGCGCCATGTACGTCGATGTAGCCTTCGGTGCCTTGAATGCGGCAAATGGCTTCGCCAAGCCCGCCCGACATGGTGGTGGAGCTGACGATCCCCTGTCTTCCCGTCGATGGGTATTGTACCAGGATACTCGAAGTGACTTCGACTCCGTGGAGATGGCTTTGGGTTGCATGGATGGTCGGCCTTTCGGAGTTTTCAGGGTTGTTGGGATCCAATGCCAGGAACGCCCATGTTAGCGGGTAGATGCCAGTATCTAGCAACGTTCCGGCACCAAGCTTAAGATCTTTGTATCGCGAGGTGTCTGGCAAACTAGGGATGTGCACCAGTAAGCTGAAGTCAGAGGACATACGGAAGATATCCCCAATGACATTATCTTTGAATAAGAGCTTCCTCAAGTCTGCCACCAGAGGTCGATGCCGTAGCCACATCGCCTCGTGGATGTAAACACCTTTCTTCTCTGCAGCATCGAGCACCTCTCGTGCCTCGCGGGCGTTGATGGTGAACGACTTCTCGCACAGAACGTTCTTCCCGGCGGCAATGGCGTCGAGGCAGTTGCTTTTATGAAAGGAGTGTGGAGTTCCTATATAGACACAATCCACGTCTGGGTCCGAGTAGACTTGATCATATGAAGCATAGATGGTGGGGGTTGCATTTGGGCAATGTTTTGCGGCGAAGTCTTTACCCTTCTGCATCGATGAGGATCCGATGCATTGGATGACATGTTTTGCTTTGGCATCGGGTCGGTGGAGGACCAAGTCTTCAACGAACCAGGAAGAAATGAGACCGGTCGCTGCAGTGGCTGTCAATAGTGCCACTTCATAAAGAGCATGGGAGTAGTGGTGGCATACATACTATTCCCCACCTGCAGGTTGGAATATCGGCAGCCATGACACTGGTTCGAGGAGGTATACTGTGACGGGAAAGTTGTGCTTGGTCAATGAAGATATGAAACGGTTATCATTTGTTTGGCCGGTGGTTACATTGGGACAATGGGTGAGTGGATGAGTGGGTGAATGGAGGGCGGAAACGGTTTCCGCAGGGAGACATTGAGGGGGAGCACGGGGAGATGATAATAATACGAGGGCACGAGATACACTTTCAGACTTTCTTACTTCCAACTGTGGATTCTTCCCCATTCCTCCGCATTCCCGCCACAAACAACCCGTACCAAGAACAATAAACATCCCCCGTCTGTGCCTTATCGCCATATCCACTTGTTGTCCCTCCTCTTCTTCTGGACAAATTACTGACTGAGCAGTATGTTGGACTGTCTTTTTATCAAGGCAGACATGTGAAGATACGCTAAACACCACCTCGTACCAAGTGTCTCGTATATTCTCCCCATCGTCGAGGTTGGATCGCTCTACCCCTGTTACCTTTATCAACGCCGTCACACTCTACTCAGCGGCTACACGCATTGCCGCACTTACCGAGAAGCCACTTCCCTGAGACGCTTCTACTACATCACAGTGCATGCGCAGTTCTCCAACTTGCATTTTCATCACCGTTCTCATCTTTCAGCGCTGAGATTAACTTGTGTATTGCATTTACCGCCCACGACAACGTCCTCCGGTTATCAGACCTCGTCACATCTCATTGATCCTGGGAACCAAGCCGTGCCTCTGCACCTCTCAAAATCTGACGCGCGATCCGCTACCATGGGCCGCTTCACAAGCATGGTTCTTTCCTGCCTGCACAACCTCCTCATCCAACTCCCTCAGAATGGCTACCACAATATCTCACGCGTCGTGCAGCCACAGATCCGAAGCTTATCTGAGAGCCTTACCATTGCCAATCCCACCGCCAGGCGCAACGCTATCGGTCGCAAGGAAAATGACATAGAAATGCAAACCCTGCATCCTAAATCCGGGCGTGAGGCGCCCATGAAGCACGAAGCAGTGGTTGATGGTAGTCAGGTCCGATAGACCATGGCAGCCTCAATGCAGAGAGATTTAAGGACCATCAAGAAGTCATTTACAAGAGATTGGATAGAGTTTGGCCGCCGTCAGAGTTCACAAAAGGGACGCCTGAAGTCAACAAACATGGCCTACCACTTGAATCATTGTGTCGCTTGACGTCTACGCGGCTGTCGGTCTCTCCCGGAAGGGTATTTTTGAAGTCCTTACCGATGGGATTGATCCCTAGATGGATTTCGGCCTTGTCTATGACCCCTGATCAATGCCTCACACCCTCCTGGCACCAGCAACGCCTACAGGAAATTACAAGCCCTGTCATCTTGAGCGAAAGACCATGTTTATGTGCCTTTAGACGACACTCTTCAACGCACCCACTGAATATCCACCCGCCATGGTCTTTGCGACGGGAGCGATGGCTGCAAATGCCGCCTCTTTGTCGAAGCCAGCATTTATTTTCGCTGCACTCAACACGTTCGGAGCCGGTCCACGTCCGCCACAGACTGCATGACTCGACGGGGCAAGGCTTTCCCTGAAAGTGAGCATTCTGCTTCCTGTAGTTCGTGCGCCACCGCAACCCACAAGGGGAGACAAACCTGCCACATGGTCCACAGGGATGGAACTATACAGAGGTGTAAGATGGATGAGGCAGAGAGATCGCCTTGACGCCGGAGTAGGGCATCTAGATGCTTGACTTCGCACCAGCCAGGGAAGCCCACCCGGGCAAAGAAGGACCGTCAACATGCACGTCTCTCGCCACTCCACTCCAAGCCGGGGAAAGCATGTTGTCTGAAAAGGGGACCACCCATGTTTGATAACAAAAGTCGACTCCAACCCCGGAAGGAAGCAAGACGAATGGCATCCTCGCTCGTCTTTCACATTGTTTTGCTTTGCGTTGGGCGTGGGCGTGGGTGTGGGCGTTGGCTCTCTGCGGCATTCCCTCCGAGTGGTACTATCATATCTCATTCTGCTGCTCTACCCTCCACTGCACTGCCCTGCACTACTCTCTGGTGATGCGATGGTGGGTTGATCTGTACTCTATATTACTGTACCACTGTACTTCTGCACTTATTGAACTATTGAACTACTGCACTACAGTACTGTTGCGCTACTGTCCTTCTGCTACACTGTTCCGCTGTGCTATTGCACTGTTCCACTATTGCACTACTGTCCTGCGGTCCTGCGATCCTGCTGGCCCTACTCTGTACAATAAAAGTCGTTGTTGCCACGTTAATATCAATGTCAATACCCATATCAAATATTCAGCGGTGCCTCCCCTCGCCGTTTTGAATCGCTCTCCTTTTCGATGGAGCGTCCCGCTCTTTGAAAAGGTAATCTCATCTGAGGTCAGAGTTCGGTGAAATTGTTCTTCCTCGTTGTGTGAACGGTTTCTGCTGCACCGCCAGCCAGGTTGACAGCGAAGCAGCCCTGTTGATTGATGTCTCGCTTACTATGGGGAGAAACTATTCAAGATTGGCTGTAAGCCTTTGTTAACCCTCGATTCAGCCAGCCCTCATCAATGACCATGTCGGCCAATCCTCTTGATCTTCAGCTCTCGTGATAACGTTCCCAACTCCACCAGCCAGGCCAGAACAGCCCTCATGCATTGCCACACGATCCTCATTCTTCGATAGTCAGTCGTACAACCGCGTGCATCAAGTCATCCCCAAGCACTTGCGTTTGGTCGACAAGTCTACTCGGTAGTTGCTCATCAACCACGAATATGCCGTCTCCCCTGATGATACAGCTGAGCCACAGTCTTTGGTTCCGAGTCTTCTGTGCGATAGCCCGACTCGTTGCTCACCATGCTCTCCCTAAGTCTCTCCCGTCGCCCTTCCCGTCCAGAGTCACTCTCGTACTCCCGACTGTCTGCTTCGCTCGACCTTGCACTTGCTCCTCTGAGGTCCCGTGTTCCCGGTCGAAGGTGGAGGACATGCGCCACACCTGTGTGAACTTGTTCTTCGTCATATTCGTCTTGCTGCTGCTGCTGTCCTCGTCCGTCGTCGTGAGCTTCGTATTCTTGGTAGGGATGAAAGTAGTTAGGCTTCGGTGGGCTCCTAGGACCTCCACCACGGATGATTCGTTCAATTTCGGTCTCCGTGTCGCTATAGGGCAGTCCACTGGATGAGTTCAACATATCCAACGCACAGATGCTCTTGCGGTAGACTTCACGATCGCTGCTGGCGACACTGTGGTCGGATTTGTTTTCGTCCAGAACTCGCTCCGTCTGGAGTCCACCGTCTGGAGACGAGTTGATATTGGAAACTTCGGTGATTTTGCTGAGCACGCGTCGCGCGGCGGTCTGTCCCATGATACCATTCTTGAAGTAATCCGATGTGATCTGTGCCGCGAGGGGGCTCTCGATTGACGGAGCAATTTCAGCAACCCGAGCCGCCAGGGGATAAGGCCTCGGGTACGCTGGGGGGTCAGGAAGCGACTTGTCGGTATCTATGGAAGATGTAGTGGGAGCGCCATAACGTACAGCACCGAGTGAATCAGATCGTGGCCGATACGTTGGTGCTGTCATGACAGTCTCGTTCGAACTCTGACAGCTATCAATGGGTGTATTTGGTGTCGTCAATGCCCGTGGATTTGCGTGTGTCTGCAAAGAAGGTCTGTGGCGAAGTGCTGCGCGATCGACCGTGGAAGCCACCTCCTTGGACGAGAACCTCGAATCCTCCGATGGGAGTCCAATCATGCTGTAACTCGTGGGGAGAGTGCCCTTGCGGTATTTGTCTTTGTCCCTCTCCATTCCAAAGAACCTCAAGGCTTTGGACGTGCTGCTGTTCTTTGCAGCCATGGCGGCTGCATCGGCAGGCGGCTGAAGCATCGCGTTGGCTTGGGAGATGACGTTCTTGACATCCTCCCGTCGCGCGAAAACCTCCTCGCGAGCACTACCCAGCTTTTGACGAAGATTCGATATCTCGGCATCGCGTTGATCAAGTTCCAGTGTATAGCTCGTTTGCATGCTGACCATAGTCCCTCGCAGCTCTTCATATCTTCTTTCCATCCTCTCCGAGTCCGTCCGCATCTGTTGGCTCTCGGCAAGTGTGGCTCGACATTCCTGCAAGTCTCTGCTTAGATCGTCGTTCTGTTGTACAAGAAGCAAGAGCTCGTGATCCTTCTGCTGTACAAGCCTGACCGCTTTGTTGTACCTATCCACGGATGCGTCGAGGTTCTTCGACTGGTCTTGGATCATGGCTCCCTGACCATGCAATACCTTGCGATAGTCTCTGATGAGGTTTCGCGCGTCGCGCAGATCTCCAACATATTTATCCAGGGTCTCCTCGGCGATTCGAACGTAATCAACAGACTCGTAAGGCTCGTTGCGCGTGTAGTCGGCTATGATACGAAGAACTTGTAGAGTCTTGGGCTCGTCGATGGTATGCGCCCAGCTAGGGACATTGTTCTGAATGAACGTGCCCAAAAGGCGGGTGACTTCGTGAACGGTATTTCGAAGTTCTGATATTCTTCGGTCTTTGTCTTCGATTTCCTTGTCTTTGGCCGTCATCCTCTCCAAAGCTTCCTCTACCTGCCCTTCGAGCTCATTCAGTTGTTCATGAGAGACCTTGTTATCTCGTTCAGCAAGCGATTCTGCGGACTCGACAATTTTGCGGTACTCGGCCGTGATCAAGCGCAGTTGATCGCAGAAGGATTTGAGTGCCTGAGGAAGGTCAGTGCCAAAGGTGGTCGCAAAGGTCGAGCTTCTTACACTACTCAGGTTTACTTGATCAACGCTTGACTCGAGTTTCAGGTTACAAGCTTCGTTGAGCAGAGCC